CCATTAGTAACCCCCAAAAACAAACAAAAAAACAAATTACCCATAAAAATAAGGAAACTTCAATAAAAAAAATTGCTATGGTGAAAAAACAAAACTAGCTACATAGCAAACTTTAAAAACCGACACACCTTATGCCGGCTGATAAAAGCAGAATGCGCCAATTATCACTGCAAGCAAGAGGAAAACCTCCTACGCACAAAATCCACCTGAGCCTTCTACAGTTTTGTAAACACCAAACTTAAAGACTCAAGAACCATCCCACCTTTTAGACCTTTTAGGGAAAAGGACCAAATGGAAAAGACTGTAGGAATGAAGCCGTTAAGGCCAACTTCTTCAACACGTTCTTCAGTTCAGTCTTTGTAAACAGCAATGGCTCATGCCCCACATTTCATAGTTGTGCCACAACTAATTGCAATGATCTACTACATATTGACTTTAGAAAAGATAACATAGAAAAGGCACTACGTAACCTAAAACCACCCCTATCTATTGTCCCCAGTGGACTATGTGCATACTTCTTAAAAAAGATCTCCACTGCCATAGCAGAACCCCTAAGCATAATATACGAGATATCATTCAGAACCAGCTCCTTACTGAACCTATGGTCCTTAGCAAAGGTCATCCCTATCTTCAAAAAAAACAAAAAAACCAGCCTGGTTGAAAACTACAGACCAATCTCACTGTGTTGTGTCATGTGCAAATCATTAATCAATCATTAACCAATCCATTACTCTCCACTTAGAGTCAAACAACCTACTCTCCAAAAAACAATTTGGTTTCAGGAAAAATTGTCCTGCAATCTGCAACTCCTACACTGTAAAAACATATGGACCTATGGTTGGACTTAAGCGTAATACACAAAATTATACAATATCCTTCCAGTCAATGACGGCTTCAGCTTCAACAGCAACAATACAAGATTACACAACAGCAACTTTCCCCCTTTTTGCCAAACCGGGCTGGGCATGGCCAGCACATGATGTATCCAGCCCACATGCCATGAGTTTGACACCTCTGTTCTATATGGTGCAGTAATCATCCAGACTGAGCTACACGGTCCTGTACAGGTTCCAGTTAGATCCTCTAGAGCAGAAGCAGCATTTGCGTCTGCTTCAGTGATCTTTAGCTGAGAGAGGAGCTTAGCTGGAAACCTTCTGGAACCTGAACTTTGCAAAATCAGAATAGTCTGCCCTGCCTAGGAACATCTGCTTGATTTGGAAACTTTCATTGGAGCAGAATGGTTAACTAGAACCCGGGCTTCCTCTTCTTCCATAGTGAACTTTCATTAGCATGGTGTTAAGGCTATTTTCTTGCTACCTGTGTAAATCCTGCCCATTTATTTGAACTGGCTGTGGCTGTTACAGATGGTAATCTTTTCCTGTGGCTGTCAGGGTCACCGGCTGCTTACCAAACAGTGGGACTGCAATCATCTGGAAACCATTTGTGAAGTTCTCCCTGATTGACCCTTTTAATTGATTGCCCACTCACGTAGGAATTGCAACTCATTTTTACAGGTGGCCCAGGGAAGAGGATCAGAATTCCTCATTCTGAAAGGGCCATGTTGATCAGAATGTATATTTTGGGTGGAAAGAGTCCACCCATCTGATATGCAGCATGATAACAATCAACAGAGAAAAACTAAAAGAGGCAAACAGAAACCTGAAGGTGGTTGTAATAAAATAAATCCATTCATTTAAAAAAAAGGGGGGGGGGTGGTTTACAGCATCAAGATACAGAGAGAGATTTAAAGCTGCAACCTTCCTATTTCACCCTTCGTATCAGGCAATTTGGGGTTTACACATTTAGAATGCAGTCTTCTTTGTCAGCTAGATTGAGTTTTGCTATGCTTCACCTACCAGATAAATATTTATCTATTTGTCAAGCATGTATTAGATAACAGATATAATTAGAACATGATTATGATTACATGAAATGGGTTACGAATAAAAGGGGACATTAGGGCAGGGATGGTAGGCACTTTGGTGCGCTTATGCTCACCCCCTACAGACCTCTTAGGAATGGGGTGAGGTCAACAAGTAGGCAGATTAAGGTTAAAGTTTTTGGGGTTTGGGGAAGAAACCACAGAGTCAGGTAGAGTATTCCAGACGTTGATCACTCTGTTGCTCAAGTTGTATTTTCTGCAATCAAGTTTGCTGAAGTCGTATTAAATATATAAAGGATTTTAAAATGTCAGGAACAGTCAACTTGGACTAATGGCTGAAGACCGGCTAAGGAGCAGGGTAAGATGAATTTTAGCTTGCGGTAGGCATGGAAACCATCTGGATGTTTATATGTTCTCTCAGCCTTTGGAAGAAGATGAAGGCAATCTTCTTTTGAGAATGGTGCCTAACGCTGTTCTGGAGGAGTTTGGTAGCATCTTTTCCAGATAACTTTATTAAGTGGAACATACTTTTGTGAACAGTAGCTCATTTCATCAGCTCTGATCCAGGTGAAAAAGATCTTTCAAATGTTGAGCTACAATACGGCTCTCCTCTTATCGTGAGGAGCCTCCTAACAGGTGCTGTGCTGGGCCAAAAAGGATGCCAAGCCAGACTGTCTTTCTAGAACGTCTCTTCCTTTTTTTTTTTTCAAGGGCTCAAGGTAGAACCCTCAACTAAATGAGAAAATGAGGACTTTTCGTAGTGGGACAACCTAAAGATCACCAGATACCAATCTCTCTTGGTCTTTCCTTTGCAGTGCCAACTCCTCTCAGCAGCACTTGTCATACCCCGAGAGCCAGCGTTGAATTAAGTAAGTTTCTAGCTCCTCAAGCAGACTTCGCTAAGAAAAATCCCCCAAGGAGGGATGGAGCAAAAGTTTCCAAAGATCAAAAGGTAGCTGTTGATTTTTCCACTGACCTTGCACATTCCTGTGCCAAATTGCAAGGGGTTTGGAAGTGGGGGGGAATGCAGGATGGTGAAACAGGGGGATGGTGTAAGAACTGAGATATGAACTAGGAAATGCCTCTTTAAATATCTCTTTTTAAGAGATATTTAAATATACCTATACTTTTTAAATATACCTCTTTTGCAAACTCACTGTGACTGAACAAGTGTTTGTTGAGTTGCCTTCTTTCAGTCTCTTGGGAAGATTGGCAGTTGCCTTGGAGCAGAGGGAGAATGCTTTGTTCTTCTATTCCAGACCTGACAAGTAGTCCATCAGGGGGACTTTAGGACCTCAAGTAGTCCATCAGTGGGACTTTGGGACCTCAAGTAGTCCATCAGGGGGACTTTGGGACAAAAAGGCCTTCTGATCCTTACCTTATTAGGAAATGACAGGTTTAAACCACATGCCAAAAGCAAAAAGCAAAAAAATTCTGCCACTGACTTGCTGTCGAACTCCTACATCGCCTATAACTGCAATCCCCAAACAAATTATCTTACTCTCCTTTTAGCCCTGGCAGGAAAAATGGCCAAGATAATGTAGGTAAAACATTTACAAGTGTCATGGGAACAATATAAAAATTATAGAAGGATAGAATTGTGAAGGAACCACAAGGATCATTTACGTTCAGGAAAACCTAGCCTCTAACCTCCTAACCTCTTCTTAAAAATCAGCAACCTCAATAGATGGACTGTTTCAGTGTTATGACGATCAGGAAAAATGTCCTGATATTTAAGTGAAATCAAGATAGCTGCAACTTCTTCCTGTTATTCTTGGTTCTAGTTTCCTTTAGAGAGACATATACATCTATTGCATATATCTTTAGTTTTACAGTACTTATACTGTATAAAATACTGTAACTTTTCCGTAAATATACTGTATTTACTGTATATATATATATATATTGTATATTTAGTTGTATCGTACAGGTAGTCCTCAATTTACAACAATTCATTTAGTGACCCTTCAAAGTTACAACAGCACTGAAAACAGTGACATGACCATTTTTCACACTTATGACCCTTGTCCCCTCCCCATGGTCCCATGATTTATATTTGGACGCTTGGCAATGGGTTCGTATTTATGACAGTTTCAGTATCCTGGAGACATAGGATCCCCTTTTGGGACCTTCTGACAAGCAAAGTCAATGGGGAAGCCAGATTCACTTAACAACCGTGTTACTAATTTAACAACTGCACTGATTCACTTAACAACTGTGGCAAGAAAGGTCGTAAATTGGGGCCAAACTTACTTAACAAATGTCTCGCTTAACAACATAAACATTGGGCTCAATTGTGGTTGTAAGTCGAAGACCAGTATACTGTATTTAGCTTGACAGTATTTCCTTTTCTTTAATCTCTTATCTTCAATTTCTTTTGCCAGCCACTTCCTTTTTCCTGCTCTTTGCCCGGTGTGGCTTACCCCAAAAGGGAACAGCACAGCTGGCTTGCACATATATTTAAAAGTGAGCAGATATTATAGGTAAACAATTCCTGCCTTTACAAAAGCAAAGAGCCATGCAGTGGAGCAGCTATTCTGGGACAATCTGTCTTTATTATCTACGGTATGTGGCCTTCCAGAAGGGACTAAGCAGCTTTCCTTGTGTCCCACAAGCAGTTAACATAACATGTTTGCAGTGGCATAACACAAACTCTGCTCCTTGTGTGCTTGCATGTGTCATTGCAACACAAGCATAAAAAGTTGGAACTGTTTTGGGGGGAACATCCCAATGCACGTTTTCTCATTTTGCCAGAATTGCAACTAGTGTTGCAACAGACATCCATGGCTACAGCTTTTGTGGAACATTTGGAGAGGCACAAGTTCCCTGTTCCTGAGACCAAAGCCATTAACAAACCTGGGTGGGTAGGTTTGCCACTAAACTGCTTTGGCTTAAAGTGAGGAGTGAAAATGCTGAATGTATATTAAGGGTGTGTTAGTTCCTCACCATGTTGCCCTGCTTTCAATATCCTTTGGGGTAGGAAGAAGGTGGCCAAAACAGAAGGTGTATCTGTTTCGTGCCCAGGACATTTTAAGCCATGATTAGTTGCTTTAATGTAGAAGGAGAAAAATTGAGATTAAAACGTGGCAACCCAACATCTTCGTTATCTCCTCTGTAGTTATCGAGAGCCAGGTAACCCACTTGATTTCCAAGCTCCTCCCTAGTTCTCCTCAGCTGCTTGCCTTCACAATACCACTCCCAGGTCATCGAGCAGCATTTGGGCAGAGCCAAAGCGCCCTTTACCCCTTCCTGGTGTCAGACAGACAATCTGACAGGCAAACCTTCAAGCCCTGGAAGCAAGAACTTCTGCCATTCTCGGAGGCTGAAACTTCTAAGGTAACTCTCATGGACCTGTCCGCCAACTCTAGGTAGTGTTCTTTCTCTGGGCCCCTTGATGAGGGATCACTCCCTAAGAATCTAGTCAAGGGCCTTGGGTTTTCCCTTCCATGTACAAGATGTTCTACATTGGATAGAATGTCTAAAAGGTTTGTTCCACCCTGGACATATTAGGATTGACAACTTCAAAGGATCTCATGGAAGACCCATGTCCTTTGCTTCCATTAAGCTTTTATCAGAAGACTTAGCCCTGGGAGATACTTCTGTTTCCCCCAACCCAGGGGTAGGATTCTACCGGTTCTGTCCACCTCTGTAGAACCGGTAGCTCTGAAGCTACCAGTCTTCTGCAGGGGTGGGATTCAAATTTTTTAACAACCGGTTCTGTGGGTGTGGCTTAGTTGGTGGGCATGGCTTGGTGGTCATGTTATTGGCTAGGCGTGGCCAACTCAATATCACTCACATCGAGGCACGCATCTCCTTGCCTGGCCTCTCATGACTGCGGGGATGCTGCAACAGTCATAAGTGTGAAAAATGGTCATAAGTCACTTTTTTCAGTGTCATTGTAACTTTGAGTGGTCACTGCACACAAGCAAAGTACCAACAAAGGAGGGGAAAAAACTCCAGAGAAGTTCCTGAGACAGGAAGTCTAGTCCTGCCAAGAATGTAATAAGGGTTAATGGAGAGGCAATTTCTGCAAGCAACACCAGAATGTTTCCTTCCTGCCTTCCTTACAGGATTAGGCCAGGAATTTCTTCTAACAACCCGTTCGTCGAACTGCTTAGAATGTTAACAACCAGTTCTAGTGAATAGGTGCAAACTGGTAGAATTCCACCCCTGGTCTGCTGCTGTTTTGCCCCCCCCCCTGCCTGGGCTCTTACCTGACCTTTATTTCCTGCTTTTTCAACCTCAGCTGCTTTGCACAGCACAGCTGTGGTTGAAAAAGCAGGAAAAAAGTGCTTTTTCAAATGCTGCGCAACCACGTGCAGCGCTGCTCAGCTGTCCAGGCAGCAAGCTGATGATGTTATACACGCGTACGCAAAACGTAAAATCACTGAACCAGTAGTTACATGGGTCGGATCCCACTCTCATTTTTCATTCTTTCCTGCAGCAACCTTTACATCTTACTTTCTTATTGGCATTATTATGATTATTATGACTCTATTGCTGTGCATGTACACCGGCAGCTTCTGATTTCTGCACTGTTTCGTATTTTTTTTATTGCAGCATTATATGTTTAAATGAGCATAATAATATCCTGCAACAAAATCTTGATATCACTTCAATTGGAGATTTTTATTCCCACTGTTGCCAGAATGCTAGAAATATCACAAAGGGAGGACAAATGTTGCCAAACAAATAGAAGAAATAAATCTGCTTGTTCCCAATTTCCAAGCCTTTTATAAAAACATACTTCTGCAACTAAAAATTGACCTTTAATACATCCTGTTTGGCCACAAACAGAGCTATCTGAATTTTTGGGTGGCCTGCTGGGCTGCAGATGAACCATTAACTCCTCCAGATAAACCAATTGGTGGCTTGCAAGAGTAGAAACAAGCAATCCTTTTGAAAGTTATTGTTTGATTCCATGGAACAGACACCTTAGAACAGAAGGAACTTGCAGCCTTCTACAGCTCCCATCATCTTCTTTATCCATCTATCAAGTTGGCTAGGTATGATGAGAAATGCAGATCACCAATAGTTTGGCGGGAAGCCATTTCCATCCCTTAAAGCAGCGTTTCTCAACTTCCTGCAATTTTAAGATGTCTGATGCTTGCTGGGAAATTCTGGGAGTTGAAGTCCATACACATTAAGACTGCTGAGGTTGCGAAAAATTGCCTTAAAGGGATAGGAATAGAACAGCAACCTTGTCTGGATCAGAGCACATTTCCATCATTCAGTATTGACAGTATTAAGTATCTGGGGGTGCAGATAACTATTAACCTGAACATCATCCTTAGTGAAGCGGGCAAACCAGTGTCTACATTTCCTGTGTTAGATGAAGAGAGCACATCTTTCTCCTTCTGTCCTGGCCACTTTTTACAGAGGCATGACTGAGAGTATTTTAACAAACTGCATTACTGTTTGGTTTGGTGGTAGAAGTGCCTCAGATAGAAAGTCCATACAGAGAGTAGTAAGGACAGCCAAGAAGATTCTAGGAAGCCTACTGTCTTATACTGCTTATAAGCGCTATGCGCTTAGAGCTCAAAGTATTGTTAGAAACCCCACGCACCCACTTCACAGTCTGTTTCTGTTGCTCCCCTCTGGGAGGAGGTTTTGAATATTTATAGCAGGACTACTAGATTCTGTAACAGCTTTGTTCCCTATGCCAACTGTCTGGTAAACTCCCAAGATTTGTTTTTCTTGCCATAAACATGTATAACCAAACTGTGTTGTTTCTTGTAATCTTGTTTCTTTGTGTCATATAATATATGTTGGTATATACATAATTTTGTATTTATTTATTTATCTTGTCATGTTTATGTAGTGTAAAATTAGAAGTGGTGACCCTTTAAGAGCTGTATGCAATTAATTTTCATTTTTAATGTATGCCAATTAGTGTACATTCAAAGCGACAATAAAGTTATTCTATTCTATCTGGTCCAGTATAAATCGTGATCAGTCAAATGATTCCAGAAAGCTTGCAAATAAAACATGGAAACAACAGTCTACATTGCCTCATTTGCTTTCAAAGCAAGCAACTACTGGTAATATTCAAAGGTAGAGTTGCTGTGAAGCTGGAAACTCTAACTTAACAGAGCCTTCTTTAAGTTACTGGCAAAAGTTAGTATATTTCACCATAACCAATATATCTAATCCCTTTTAAAAGATTAACCTCTAAGCAGTAGGTTTCATGACCGGATCATACAGGTAGTCCTCGAATTACAAAAATCCATTTAATGATTGTTCAAAGTTACAATGGCACTAAAAATGTGACTTATGACCAATGTAACCATGGTTACATGATCGAAATTCAGATGCCTGTCAACTGACTCATATTTATGACAGTTGCACTGTCCTGGGATCACGTGATCATTTTTTGCGACCTTCTGACAAGCAAACTCAGTAGGGAATCCAGATTTATGTGACAACCATGTTACTAACTTAACAAACGCATTGATTCACTTAAGAAGAAGAAGTTGTAAAATGGGGGGGAAAGATGTGGCAAGAAGTTGTAAAATGGGGGGGAAACCCACTTAACACATGTTTCACTTAGCAACATAAATTTGGAGGCTCGAATGTGGTCGTAACTCAAGATCTACCTGTACAAAGAAATGCTTTATTTCAGCCACCCTAATCCTTTGGCTCTTAATCAAACAAGTAGTAGCTTCTATGAGCAATTGAAAAGGAGAAATATATAAAACAGCTTCAGCTACGTTTATTTTATATGAACTGCCTTTGGAAGTGGATGAAGATGGGCTACCTCACTTTTCTAGCCTGCTATCTATCACATAATGTCCTGTTGGCCCTACAGACACACAGCCCTACTGGAGCAGTAGCCCTGAATTAACACATCTGGGATCCATTGGCTGAAGGAAGGCAGCTCTTCCTAATGGTCAGAGAGTCCTGTATCTGTTGGAAAAACTGAAGGGGTAGCTGTATCCATGGAAAGAGGAGCATGTTTACATTTTGACTGATAGCTCAATTCTTTTCCCACTCCTTGTCAGTACCAGGTCCCCAAATAAGGTATTTGTTCCTACTTATCTCTCTACATTTCTGGGGAAAGTCCAAAAATCCTCTAATGCCCTCAGTTCCCACCTGTTGTTTTTACAGAAGGAGGGGCTAATGCTTGGCAGACCCACCTACTCTGCTCCAAAATAATACACCCATCCTTCAGGCAGATCCAAGTCCAGACGAAAGCAAAACTGCTCCATTTAAAAGGTCTGAAACCTGCCGCTGTCTCTTAAAATCAGATATTATTATTTGCTCTAGCGTTGCTGTTTGACAAGACAGTCAGAAAAAGCAGGCACCAACCAAGACGTGAAATCATCTACGAGCATCTCATCTGGATCTCTATTACTCAGATAATCAAACCGGTCGAAGGCTGGTCAGCAATTCTAAATTTTATCCTAGCTTGGGCATCGTGAGAGGGTCAGGTACTTTGATTACATTCTTTAAATTATTTGTGTCAGCATTTTTATGTTTGCTTGTACAACTTTGTAACTGTTTGCTAGAAGACTCATTAAATCTCTAGGTCGTGAAGATGACAAAGGCTTGTACAAAGTACTGTCTCGTTACCTATTTTGGTTAAAATTGTAGCTAAGAAATTGATGCATGAGGAAAAGGTCTCCATTTAAAAATCAGTTTTTACCTCTGCTTTGACTTTGCAATCTAATGTATGGTTTCTTCTTATTCTGCACAAAGCCATGCAATTGTAGTTTCATTTTGGCTTAACCTGGGATCCCATTGAGATGCATAAACCACATTTCAGGAACACGATCTTGTGGAACAGCTGCAGGTTGACTGGCTGCAGGTTAACTAAATATCAGACAGAAGTGTAAATATAGATTAACTCATACAATCACTTTAAATATATGTGGTTTTGGAAAAAATATATAAAAGAAGTAAAACATTATTTTTGCCCTGCTCTCTTATCTAATTTGATAAGTTACTTTATTTATTAGCAATATCCTCCTTTCAAAATTCAAAAGTTGAATTCTATAAACTAGTCATTAACTTTCTAAACTAATCGAAAAGAGGCAGAAAGGTTTAAGTCTGAGCTGATTGAATTGGTGACACCCCCCCCCCCTGCCACCAAACCAGACCAAAGGAAGTTGGACTTTTAATTTCAAGTTAGAGAAATCAGGTCGGTGTAGTGATGTAGAGTCACTCTGTGAGACAGGCGGCGCATTAAATTTAATAAATAAATAATAATGAATATAACTTTCTAAAATTCTCAGCATAGTGCTACATTAGGAATATTATATGCAAATATTAGGAACACCAGATTATACCAATATTATACCAGACCCTGCATTACTTCATAATTCTAGATCCAATATATGGCGCTAGTTTCAACTTATGAACTCTTTCATGGCTTAGCACCAGGATACTTTCAAATCAGCTTCCTGTCACTTGCCCCAGCTCCTGCCCATCTAGCAGTTCAAAAGCATGCAAATGCAAGTAGATAAATAGGTACCACTTCGGTGGGAAGGTAACAGCGTTCCATGCACCTCAGTGTATAGTCATGCTGGCTACATGACCACAGAAATATCTTCGGACAACTCTGGCTCCCTCAGCTAGGAAACAGAGATGAGTACCACCTCTAAAATCAGAAATGACTGGACAGGGGAAACCTTTACCTTTACCATTATGCAAGCAGTCCTCGACTTGCAATAGTTCATTCAGTGACCACTCAACATTACAACAGCACTGAAAAAAGTGACTTACATCTGTTTTTCACACTTATGACCAATGTAGCATCTCCATGACCACGTGGATGCTTGGCACTGACGGTTGCAGTGTTCCGGATCCTATGTCTACATTTTGTGACTTTCTGACAAGCAAAGTCAGTGGGGAAACCAGATTCACTTAACAATGGTGTTACTAACATAACAACTGCAGAGATTCATTTAACAACTGTGGCAAGAAAGGTTGTAAAATGTGGCAAAACTTAACAAATGTTTCACTTAGCAACAGAAGCTTGATTATGGTCATAAGTTGATGGCTACCTGTATTTTCCATATGGCGCCTTGGAGAGCATGCAAACATGGATCTGAACTATGAGGAAATAATTGAGGTGTTTGTTGTGCAAGCCCCAAACCTTTGAGATCTTCAAGGAATCTTTTCAAGAACCGATGCTTAGAAGGTCTCCCCTAACTGCACTGGTTGAGAAGATGACAGGATGCAGGTTTGCAAGTTCTCCCCTTAGCCAGTCATAGCAAGGATTTCTCTGTCCTAACAGATGTTGGCAAATAAGGATCTGTTTCTCTTCCGGGATCTGTTGATAAGTGCCACAGCTCTAAAACTGTGATTCTCCCTCAGGGCTCAGCAGTTTCTTCTTCTTCTTCTTTCAGTGTAGGCCTCTGTTGATGGACCAGCGGACTCTGAGATTCCCTCTGGCCAGATTCTGCATGGCTTGGTTCTCCCTGCAGGCTGTCTGCCATTTTGCCCAGGGTGAGCCGCGTGACTTGCCGGCTGGCGGAGCTGCTGGGCTTCCGCTGGAAGACGCCACCCAAGAGCAGGGTTACTACCTGCAGCAGTTGTTTCAGCAGTATGGTGAGAATGGCACTTTGTCCTTCGAGGGCCTGACCCGCCTCCTGCTAAACCTGGGGCTGGGAAAGGTGCAGGTGGTGGAGATTGAACACGAGGAACTGGGACACGGCCATGTCTCCCATCTGGACATCCTTGAGGTCCAGGAGAACAAGCACCTGCACTCCCACTCAGCACTGGATCACCTCAGCAGGACAGAGGACGGGGCCGAGGCTCAAGGGGAGAGCGTCACCCCCACCAGGTGGGCCCATTTTAAAGACTGGAAACATCCAGCGGGTATAAAATGGCCGCACTGGGAAGGCCATTCATAAAATAGCTTTCGAAGGGAGCATGGACAATCCCGAAAGATCCATTTGTCGGAAGGTAAATGGGAGGGATCCATTCCCCCTCCCCCCGCCCCCATAGCCTGTTTAGAGGATTTCAGGGTGCCTTTGCCTTGTTGTTCTGGGCAGACTGGATGTACTTCCAAACAAAGCATCTGGACCTTGTTTGTTTGCTAAGAATATCTCTGTGGCGCCCAGAGATAAATCAAGCTGATGCTAAAGGGCTGGTTCTTTGTTTCCCGCTGCTTTATTTATTCTCAAGGAAAGAATCTGAAGAACATGTTAAAGTCAGGTGGGGCAGAGACCCACCTGGTGAGTGCCAAGTGAGGTCTGTGACAAATTAGCCACCCGGATTCTGCCGTTTGAGGGAAAGATACTTCCGTCTGTACACAATGGAAAATTGCCAGTGCATATTTCCACTGAGGAATGAATGAATTAAATCATGGTGTTTGTTATGTTCTTGATCGGCAGTTAACATCTTGCACAGCATCTAAGCCCAAGCAAAATAAACATATTGCTAGCCTCAGCGTTCTGGTCTTGCTGAACCAGACAACCTGCTGAAAGGCGGGTGGTTGAAATATTTCTTTCAAGAAGATGAGAGCTAGCAATCATAGGCCTGCTTCAATCCCTACAAGAGAAACAGGAAGCGAAGCAACAGCTCTTCTCTGTCAGCCATCGATTCAAATAATTTGGGATAACATTAAATGGGAGAAGATAGATAAATTCAGAAAAGATAGCGGTAGTCCTCATTTAGCAACCACAATTGGAATTGGCAACTCAGTCATTAAGCGAAGCAGTTGCTAAACAAAACTGCTGCCGTGCTTATGATCTTACTTCAGTGTTCTTTTGCGTTATAGATCTCTATAATCTATAAATGAGAGAATTGATCACAAGGTTATATCTTCATCACCATTGTAACTACCAAAGCTGCTGTACAGCAGTCTAAATGAGGACCACACACACACACACACACACACACATATATATATTAATTGGTTAGATTTTATAATAATAATTAAGAAAAGTCATGAAAGGAATGCAATGCACTGATTCTGCTTTCGACTGGGAAATCCCACCCTCAGCCACAGACATTCGCTAACTCTTAGTCCAAACTACCCCAACTTCCCCATTGTTGTGGGGAAAAACAGAAGGAGGGAGAGCTATGTACACCATGATAAACTCCAGGAATAAAAGTCAGGTATACATTGAAAATAATAATTATCTTCAAACCTGCAGCCTTGTGTATTTTAGCTCTATTTCTCTTAGTTCTCTTTTTCTTCTGATTATTCTCAGGGAGATTTCGTTAGCCTTACAGTATCAGAACGGTTTCTTAACATTTCAGTGAAATCTTTCCCTGTTGAGTTGTTGATGATGATTTCACATGTCCTTCAGGCCAGGATTCTCTCTGCTGGACCCTGAACTCCATACCCCAGTTTCTCCTACCTTCCATGAGGTCAGCCACGTCCTCAAGCCCAGCTTTGGGCAAGGCCGAGAGAAATCCGACAAGGAGAAAGAGGGAAATGTTTTCATGCCTTCCCACGGACATTCTAAGCTGAACCTTCTGGAGGGAGTCATTACCTTGGATCACTCAGTCTTCAATCACCTGCATGAAGATGTAAGAATTGGAGATGTGTTGGAGTCTGCAGCAAATGTATTGGGTAGGCAGGGAAGCAATTATGCTTTAAGGGGATGTGTTGGCGGGAGTGGGGAGATTACAAGTTGTATTTTATGGACTGAAAGATAGAAAATGAGCCAAGATTCTTTGTTTATATTGGGTTCCATTTGGAAAGAACTCGTATATGTGCTTGAAATGGGGCCCTCAGAGCTCAACCCCTATAGATGGTAACCTATAGATGATCTTCAGGCTGCATCTGGTCTTCAAGCTAATGATTGGCAGAAACTTGGTTATCACCAGAGACCCCCTCAAAGTAGATGGCTAGAAGGGACTGACTAAAACTAATGCAACCAGACATCTGTTTTCAAAAGCCATCCTATAAAAACAGCTAAAATTAAAATATGTGGCTATCCATATAGTCACATACAGACACCACCACACTCACATAGAAAATGCATAATATCTCTGGTTTTCAGGAATGCTGAATTTTTCTGTAGCTCCTGGATAAAGCACAATGTATTTCTGATTTCCCACACTGCCCATTTCTGTTACTGTAATTCCCCTCCCAAGCTGGGCAATGTTTTTTTCCCCTCTGCTCAGGAGTACCCCGCCCCAAAATGGATAACGGATAATTGTAGCGGAAGTGCATTCTATCCTGGTTGTAGGGCCACAAGCCCATTTTAGTCCACAATCAACAGCCTTCTGGGTTGTTTTTCTTTCTCCAGTGCCTTAATGTGTCTCAGTTGCTTGTCAATTTTGGCATGAATACCATCTCCAAAATCACCCCAGAGCAGTTCACCCTGCTGTGCCCAGCTCTGCTGTACCAGATCGATAGCCGTGTTTGCATCCAGCACTTGGACGATGTGACTTTTGACATGGCCGGGAATTCCCTCTGGATTGGTAAGCCCTTCCATCCATCTCAAGTCACTTCGACGTACATGTCCCTAGTGAGGTTGGCCTGGGTGAACAGCAGGAGGCGGAGTTAGTGATGTCATGAGAGCAGGCATGGTCAAAGCTCTCATCCTCTACTTTACTGGTAGTCCTCAATTTACAACAGTTCATTTAGTGACCATTCAAAATTACAACGGCACTGAAAAAAGTGACTTATGGCCATTTTTCACACTTAGGACCTTTCCAGCGTCCCCATGATCATGTGATCAAAATTCAGGTGCTTGGCAATTGACTCATATTTATGACCATTGCTGTGTCCCAAGGTCACGTGATCACCTATTTCAACCTTCTGACAAGCAAAGTCAGTGGAGAAGCTAGATTCACTTTAACGACCAGGTCATTAACTTAACAAATGCAGTGATCCGCTTAACAACTGTGGCAAGAACAGCAGTAAAACGGGGTGAAATTCATTCAGCAAATGTCTCGCTTTTTTGGGCTCAGTTGTGCCTAAATTTTGGGCTCAATTGTGGTCATAAGTCGAGGACTACCTGTACAGCTTGGAAGGGGAGTAGGAGGTGTGGGGGAAGCAAAATGTTTCCAGGCCCAGCCTTGAAGACACCCAAGTTGGGGCATTCATTTTGGATGCCACAATCAATGGATTTTGGTGATGTGATTTTTGAGGGAGGGTGTTTGTTATTGTTGTTTGTAGTGTGGGAAGTGTGAGAGGAAACAGTTGGCATCCTACTTCCACTTCTGCCTTAATTTATCAAAAGGAATAGCTGAAAATTCTAGATGTGGCAAATTGTAAATTGGGTGCTGGGGGTGGTGGCCGTGTCATGGGGTGGTCACACAACCTCATCAAGACAGTATTTTTGTTAAAAAAAAAGAAACAAAATGAATAACATGTTATAAATTTGAACAAACTAGTCCTTCCATCCCAGGGAAGTGCCCCTGCTATGTGCAACTTGCTAGTTTTAGAGCTGTGTTTCTCATTCCTGTCACCCTCTATGTTTTCCACAGGCCTGGGCTGGGGATTTTTGGCTATCACCCTGACCAGTGCACCCTCAGCACTAGCCATCATCCTGGTGCCCCTACTCAGTCGAGAAATCTTCCAGTTCCTCCTGACTTTTCTGGTGGCCTTGGCTGTGGGGACATTGTGTGGGGATGCTTTGCTGCACCTCTGGCCACATGTATGTACCGCCCCTATTTCTTCCATTTAGGGTACAATTGTCCACAGGTAAGTGGGTACCACCCAACCCATCTCAACCTCGTACAGGGAAGCCCATCTAAGGCCTTGGGCTTCTGCTCTCTTCACAGCTTTCTCATCAATACTTTGCCCTCTTTGATCCCATTGTTTTTAATGAGGTGCCTCCCACGTTTCACTCAGTGAACACTCTTCACTTCTTGCTGGTTTGCCTCCCTTTTAATCGTTTTCTTGACAACAGGATTTCCCATAATTAATGCTATTGTTAAACTCAGTGGGGCTTGCTCCCAGGTGAAGTGGGTCAAAGTTGGTGCCAGAACCAAACAGTAGTAGAGCTGAACTTCTGTCATGTTTCCATGAAGAGCAAGTGTGGGGATTTTTTGCTCAGATTTTTCCAGTCCTATCTTAACGTGGTTTAAAAGGATTAATGTCTGTTCTGAATTCTTCCTTTCTCTGCTCAGAACAATTGTTTTTATTCAGGCGCAAGTGAGTTCCCATGGCTTGCTGTCCTCGGAAGAAGATGGCATCCTGAAGGGTCTGTGTGTGCTAGGAGGCATTTACTTTCTCTTCCTCACTGAGAATCTCATGGGGACCCTCAACCAAATTCGTGCAAAGAGGGTAAGAAGTGCAGGAAAAGCCTGGATTATAACACTCCAGAGTGGGAAAAGACATGTGTTATTCAGATACATATGCCTAATCCGAGTCAAACAAGCAAAAATGTATTATATGCTAAGGTTTCCCCTAGAACGAGAAAAGACATATCTGAACCATGGCCATGTTATACCACTGCCCTGTACTACAAGGAAGCTAATCCTCTGGCATCATTAGGGTGGGGTTCAAAACTCAACATGCTTTTTTAAAAAAAGTTTTGGTTTTATTGGACAGAAACGTGCTGCTGGAAAGCAACCTGAGCAATCTTCCACTAAGGCAGATGAGAATGACACAGAGAGGACATTGCATAGTGAGTTGTGAATTACTTAGTACTTCAAATCCATATTAGCATTTTGGTATGTTTTACGTTCTATTTTAGCAGGGAAGTTGTGTGTCTCCTTGAAAATCTGGTTTCAAAGGAATTTATGTGCCAAGGTTGAAAGATTATACATCCTTGAGCCAGTGGTGGGATTCATTTTTTTTTACTACCGGTTCTGTGGGGGTGGCTTAGTGGGCGTAGCAGGGGAAGGATATTGTAAAATCCCCATTCCTTCCTTACCCCACTAACCTGCTTTCCAGCTCCGTTCTCCTGTGTAGAGCAACAAAAGAAGACCCAGCCAATCAGCTGGGACTCAGGAGGCAGAGAATAGATGGGGGCGGGGCCAGTCAGAGGTGGTATTTGCCAGTTCTCTGAACTACTCAAAATTTCCGCTACTGGTTCTCCAGAACTGGTTCAAACCTGCTGAATACCACCTCTGCCTTGAGCCCACTTGAAAAAAATGCATTTTAAATACATAAAAATATGTATTTGAGTGGAAGCTCTTCTCTAAGGCCTCTTTCTTTCTTCTTGTGTCCAGGTATTGGATAGATAGCTGAAAATTGTCTCTGAGATCAGTATCTAGCATCAGCACTGTTACTAGCTGTCCCTTCAGAATTGTGATTCAGTTCTGTATCCAGCTGACATGATGTACCTGGCAAGAAGCGGTTAGTTTTAGATAAAAGTTGCCTGAATTGTGAGATGGGCAGTAAATAAATTTAATAAACAAAACCCCAAATAAATAAATAGTTAGATTTGAGGAGGCTTTTTGAAGCTAATCTATTAATTCAAAGACATACCGTAAGGAACAACAATAAATATATTTAGAACTGAGAGAGGAAACAAAAATGAATTTGTAACACTAGTAGGTAATATGTTTCCCATATTCCATGAGTGATCCAAAGATTATTTTAGAATGCACCCCATAATTTTGAAGGGCCATTTTCATTCGGTAGATAGACGTACTGAATATGGCACAGGATTAGACTACCTACTGTATCACCTTTCCCTAAAGACATCTATCCATCTACCAGGTCAAATAGTATGGGCACACTCCATTGGTTCCTTCCCCCAAATATTGTCATCTAATAGGATCAAGGAAGCATGATTTTTCCATGGCAACCCTTGCTCTGTGGAACATCCTGTCACCTGAAGTTTGGCAGGCCTCCACCTTTTAATCTTTTGTAAAATCTTTTCCCCCAGGCTTTGGAGGACGTTTAGATGACAGCACATTAACACAGATTGTCGCCAGATTTTTTTCTTTAATATTTTCTGTTTTAACTCTTTTATGTTTTATAGTTTTTAAAATGATTTTATATGTTTTTTAAATCTTTGATTGGGAACCACCACAGAGTTGGTTGAAAGATGGATGACCTTATAAATGTTTTAAATAAAACACGATGACTGGAGAGTGGAGCTAATGAAAGAGGACAGTCAGCATCTGTGGTAGGGCCTAGTCCAGAATCTCTAAAATGGATCAATTGTCATCAAGTACGATCAAGGGAGAATATTGTTCTTCACCAGCAAAATGGCATGAATTCGACCCGTGTCTTTGCTCAGTCTCTCTAGGTCCTAATGGATTGCTAGGTGGGTCAAATTTCTAACATGTTTCCCTGAAACCTCAGTGCCTTTATTCCTAAAATTGAATCAGATTAAGAAACAAGCCAAACCTTTGCTCCTTTATTCTTGGAGATAGCTCTAGAGCAGGGGTGTTAAACTTGATTGCACTGAGGTCTACATCAGGGTTGTGTTTGACCTTGGGGGTGTGGTTGGGGTCAGCGTGGCCAGTTCAACGTCACTTGTGTTGGGGGTGCCTGTGGTGACCCGAGCGCTCTGCCGGTGAAAATGACCTCCCGAGCTCCATTTTTGGCTGCGACGGCCTCCTGCAACCCTCTACCAGTGAAAACAGCTTGGGAGGGCCATGGCTGTTTTCACTGGCAGAGGGTTGCAGGAGGCTGTCACAGCCAAAAATGGAGTTCGGGAACCTGTTTTCACTGGCAGAGGCAGCGCAGGCCGGTCCTTCGCTTTTTCTAGGGCGGCCAGGTGGGCCAGATCTCAGCACCCCCTGGGCCTTGAGTTTGACACCCTTGCTTTGTGCATTGTTTGGCATTTTCTCAGTTTCCTAGGCTCTCAGTCACACCTTCTAAGATCTTAAGATGTGTGAGAAGCAAGTTAAACAGCTCTTTTTTTAAAAAAATGGTCTAAACCTTTCAGGTGTTGAATTGCAGAGTTTGAGAGTGCCAAGAGAGGACACTGGAAATGTATATGGTGAAGTCCAGGAGTACTCCATTGAAATTCACAACTCAGAAGATCACAGGACAAGCCTGGAGAAGCAAACAGAAGAGATACCTCATCACGGTCACTCCCACAGCCCAGTTGGGACTCTCAAGGCTGGGATCGCTGGCATCGCTTGGATGGTTATCCTTGGGGATGGGGTCCACAATTTCACAGATGGATTGGCAATAGGTCAGTGATTTCTAGGCACACCTTGCTCCCACCTTGTGACAGAAAAGGAGAATAGTCTCCCCACAGAACCTTTTCTTAAGGTGCTTAAGGTGGCACACATAGCATCTCCTCTTCCTGCTTTTCCTCTCCCCCGCAACCTTATGAGGGAGGCTGGTGTAAGAGGAAGTGACAATCCCACAGTTGCCAGGGAACTTTTATGGCAGACTAGAACCCAAGACTTCTTCCTCCTAGCCCAACACTGCTACGCCACATAGGCTGTTTTAGACTTAGGCGCCTTGCTACACTATTCTTCTTCTCCAGGGGCTGCCTTCTCGGATGGACTCTCCAGTGGCTTAAGTACTACATTGGCAGTCCTCTGCCATGAACTACCCCATGAACTGGGTGAGTGAATAAGGGGATAGTCCTGCTTCAGGACTATCTGATCTTTTTGCATGTCTTGTTTTCAAGGTTGCCCAAAGCACCATGGAAGCCAAAATGGTCATCCCTGCCATGACAGGTTCCTTATCTACAGTAGACATTGCTGGTTTCAAGAGAGGTTGAGGTAGCCTTAACTTTCTCTGTCTTTGGCAGGAGACTGTGCTGTTCTACTCCAGGCAGGCATGCCTTTGCGGTGGGTGCTGTTGTTTAACCTGCTGTCTGCTTTCCTGGCTTATTGGGGCATGATGTTAGGGACAATTGTCAGTCAGAACACTTCTCAAGTCACTCCCTGGATCTTTGCCACCACAGCTGGTGTTTTCCTTTACGTAGCTCTGGTTGATATGGTAAGGATGTTTCATTTCTCTCTGTATGATACAAGTCTTAATTTACTTATTTCTACCTGTACCTATACTTCCTACCAGTATATGCGGGAGTCTTCCCTAATTTTATCTTTATGGTAGCAATGAAGAAAGAGTGGCTGACACCAGAGGGCCTAAACTCACCCACTGAACTTTGTAGGCATCTGGAGTCTTGAACCAAGCCTCTCTACTCCAAGTCCAATCACCACAATGACACTTGGAGACCACAGAATGTTAAATGTTCCTTCTAACTTATTGCCTTCCTTCCTCACCCTTATGAAAAGCACAAATCGGTGTTTTAGTCTTCACAATTCTGTACTTAAATTGGGAGAGAGAAAATGATGCCCAAATTGCAGGGGGGGTTAAAATGGTTTGTTTTTTTTCAGATCTAAAGCTTTAGCCTCAACCAAGCAACGGGAAGGGAACATGCAAGACTTGTGTGTAGACACATGCAAAATTAGAGAATTTGTTTTGGATTCTTGGTACATCTGGCCCTGATTCCTGCCTCATCCCATCTGCTGTAGCTTTTCAAGATCAATGGAGGTTCAAGTGTAAATATGAGGTCCAGTTGAACTCTCTGAATTCAGCATCTAGTCTCTGAGATTTTAAACCATTTATTTGGAATATTAACGTTTCTTCCTATCTCCCCAATACTATAGAAGTGGATTACCAAACCTTTTGGGTAGAAAAGAGAATGAACAAGAAAGGTAGAACTGTAACTTCAGACACTTTGCTTCTTATTGTTCCTCCCTTTATAGAATCAGAAATGAGAATAAATCTAAAAGGACATGTAGGAGACTTATGAGGAATTAGAGCTTGTGACTCTAAAATCCAAACTGCAAGTAAATTTCAGAAACATGCCTCCTACCCTACATGGCACTATCCTTAGAAAACTTCTTGAAAACCTCCTGGTGCATGAGTGGCCCTATGAAAGTTTTCATGAGGAAAACACCTGGTGCTGAATTGCTTAAGGACTCAAGTAGCCCAACATTTGATAAAGTTATGACTAATCAAATGTTTGCTGTTGCTAACTTCTTATGGGCAAAGATCCCATCAGTCAGTTTGCACTAACTAGACTATGAATGCTGTCAAGGTGATAACAGCTGGTTGTTTTTCTCTAGCTACCTGAAATGTTGCAGCGGCATTCTACCAGCAGCAAAAAAAGATCCTTCAGACACTTCGTTCTTCAGAACGTGGGCTTTCTCTGTGGAGGTGGCCTTATGCTCTGCATTGCTCTCTTTGAAGAACACATCAGTGTCCGCATGAATGAGTAGGACATTTCGAAAGGAAAGCTGCAAGGCGAAATGCACTCCTGGCTCTGTTGTCAGTTATGACTGTCTTCTTCCTATAGCTGAAAAGGCAGCTGTAAAATCCTTTTCTGTAATTGGGTAATCTAAGGAAGTTGAAGAGGAGAACAAAAGAAAGTTTGGAAGAGGGACAAACTCTTTTGACAACTGCCCCGACCCTGTGTTAATAGGTATGGTGGCAGTAAAACTATGTGCCATGAAAATTTATGTCTGATTCAGCCTGCTTGACATTATTATAAAAAGAAAGTAGGTTGCCACTAAAATTAGCTTGTTGAAAACCCATTATACTTTGTTAAAATGGAAGAGGGGGCAAGTTGTCTTAGGAGAGAGTGGACCTAATTTAAATGTATTGTTTTGTAACGTAAGGTGAAATTATTTAAGAAACTGTACCTATTCTAAGAAACCTGTTGGTTCTATTACGGTACCAGGTACTCATAGTTCCTATTGCATTTTGGTTAAATAATGGTTTCAAAAGCAGCAGTTATGCCATGTTAGAAATTTCGGTCTTCAACGACACGAATACCTGATTAAACCTGAGGCAGCATTCAAGAGGAGCTTCAGAGTTGTTTTCTGTGATGGGAAGAAAGGACTCCTGTAGGTGCATAGGTAACAAATACAGAACAGAGAAGCTAGATAAGAGTCAATTTTTTCCAGCTACAAGAGACAAAAACAGGAAGACGCTCAGACACCAACCCTGCATTAATGTCTCCTCTGAAGGAATCTAAGAAAGTCCCAGCAGAAGTAATAAAAGCACTTGCTAAAAGGGCAGATGAAACTTGTCTTGAAATTTCATTTTTTCAGCAGCATTCATTGACACTACCGATACGAATATCCGAAAAATGTTTCTGCTGGGGACACTTCATAATATGCTGCACAAGGTTGCTGGAGGCAACAGGGTAGCATTTCAATCTCTTAAATCAGGAAACTTTCAAAGTCTCCAGCACAAATGGTAAAGAACAAGTTGTCCAAGGAAGGGCCAGCAGTGTTGGAATAAACAACTGCGAAAGGCAGGAAAGATGATACATGCGAAAAAGCAGCCGAGGTACAAGAAGTGGAAGAACTATCCAAGTGGCCTATTTTAGAAAGGGGGGGGGGCGTTTCTGATAGCCACAGCCAGAACATTCTCAATGGTCTTCCATTTGGGAGGACATCATATTCTAAAGCAGAGGTGGGGAATGCTGGCCCTTTTATGACTTGTGGACTTCCGACTCCAAGAATTCTGGGAGTTGCATGGCTGGTTCAGGAATTCTGGGAGTTGAAGTCCACAAGTCACAAAAGGGCCAACGTCCCCCACCCCTGTAAATCTAAAGGGAAAGGCTCTGGAGTTATACCCAGGATCCTGAAACAGGCAATCCCTCAGTATTTCTGCAGGATTATTTTCTGTGCTTTGATTCTGGGAATCCACAACTGGTGTGGAAAAAGGGAACTGTTGCAACACAATGTGGTCAAATTTCCCACACCTATTTTCTGGTGCCTTTTGGGTGAGGTGGGGGGGGGGGGAACTGAGCTGCCATCAACCAGCTTTACTGACCAGTTATCTGAATTCCAAGTAGGTTGTTTCTAACAGGGCATGCATTAGCCACATTAGACCGTCACATAATTTTCTCATGTGTTTGTTCTATAGCTGTTTTAAGTTCGAGAGTAGTTTGCTGGTATATTTGCTGAGATATGGTATCACTTGAGTTGAATTCATTTCTCAAAAATACTCCACTTTCCCCCCTATTCAAGGTAACTCTTAGCCCAAAGGTACTGTTACATTTTTGTCTAGAAGTAAAACCACACTGAATAGGCATGTACCTCTATAGAAATATCTTGAATTCATGCAGTCAAAACCGAGCTCCTGCATAGGATGGATTTTAAAAAAATATTTCTGCACCTCCAGGTTGATTAAATAGAATTGTCCTGTCTGGCCACAAGCCAACTGGTATAAAAGGATACTGGTGTCGAAGAAGGGAAGTGTTTGCAGATTGTAAAATTACATGTGGCTTAAAAATGTATTTTTGACTCAGGTTATGAAATTACAGTCATGTCATCAAGAATTCTCCCCTATTATCTCTTGTATTTTTACCTACATCATTGTATCTGGAGACACACAAAAAAAGCAAGGCAAATAGAAGCAACAGCATTTTAATCAACATAATTGATTCAAAGCCACAATATGAATAACAGGACCTGGTCGCAGCATACATTGTAAAAAATAGATCAAGTCTGAATGCTTTGTGTTTTTTTTTTAATTTTAGTTTTAAGTTCCTGTTAACCCCTTTTCCCCAACCTCCCTCCCCCCCAAGGTAATGCAGAAATTTTGAAAATGCATATATATCATCTGAGACAAAAAAAAAGGTTAACCATTCACTGAATTCATGTAAAGGGCTTATACAAAGTGGCTTCCACACTGCGCAAGACTGAGATGTGTAGAAAGGGGGATGGATGGCTTGTGATACCTCACTGCATTGTTATTTCAATATGATTTTTTTTTTTTTACATAAGATCTCTTAACATAATGTTTTCATTTCATGGAACAACCAGGCTGGGATCGGGGTGGGGTAAGAAAAAGGAAGAATAGTTGATAGTTGGTTTGATAGATCTGCCTTTCTAAGAATAAAACTCTTGAGGGAAACATAATTACTTTGTAGTATTAAAAAAAAACTGAGAAGAGACTGCTTCTAGTGGAAAAAAATGAGGGCAAGGAGATCCGTAAGAAAGGGAGATTGCCAATCAGTCTCAAAAGAGCAACACTCTGATTGCATATCAGGAACTTCCTTTGCATTAGGCTTAAAAGCAGACTTTGGGGAATGTGAACAGATCTTGGCAACTCCTGCCCCGTAACCAAACAACCCCCTTCTGAAACACCCAGAGTGAGCATTTGGGCATGTGTATATATATATATATATTTGTGCTTTAAACCAGTGTTTGAAGGAAGATCATGTGTCTGCAAGTAAGAAGGCAGGCCTGTGAGAGCTGATTTGAATGCTTTTTTTTTTTTTAATAATCTCTTCTAAACATTGGTCCAAGCTTTCCAAAACTAGCAAGATAAGGGGGCAAAGTTAAACTTCCCCACAATCATTATGGTTCCAAAGGTACAAGCAATGGAGAAGGGCGATGCTTTATAGGCAGCACTTCCATTCTTGCTCCAATAACCCATCATTCACCCCTAAACCCAAAATATTACCATTTGAACAATACTCCCATCTTCACTCACCCATTATAACACTAACTAACACACACACACACACACACACACACACACCCCTAATTTAAAAATATCTGCTTAACTAAACCATCCCAATTAAGGCCCCTGCCCCGAAGGAGGTCAACATGGTTGCATGCTGGTCTTGATCAGCAGGTTGTAGATTCAGTGCTCTGAAGGTGAAAGCACAATATTATTTCCCAATCCCATTCTACCCTATTAAATACAAAAGACCAAATACAAAACAGGTACAGTAAACATGAGGTGCTGATTTAAGAACCGTCTTCCATTCCTCCTCCCACGTTAATGCTCACTGAAGGATTCATGGGAAACACAGATCTCCCACCCTATAGATTTTTCCTTCCTTGCCTGGTGTTTTAAGATGTGAAGCATCTTAGGAGCAAGAAGGGGTTTTGTGTGCCATTATCTGCCCAGGTTTTTACTGTTAAGAATTCGGCAGGAAGACCCGTTCTTTCTCCATACCGCAACCAAACTGCTGAAATATAGACTGACTTCCATATCAAGACACCCAACCTCTTTTTAATATAGCACAGGCATCTCTATAATCCTAGAGAGCTTTTCCATCCTGGCAGGGGGAGAAGGAATGGGAGATAAAATATCCCAAATATAAAACTTATGCAGATTAGAATTAATTCAGATTGCACCTAAAGTGGTAACGGTAACAAAAGGATGGTTTTGTTTCAGAAAACTCTGTCAGAAAACCACCCCAAGCTCACTTCCCAGAGTTCTTTCCAGAACTAGATGTTATATTTATCAGAGGGACCCTAAATATATAAAAAGGAATAAAACAAGATTCGACTTTACCACTTTAGCCAATCTTAACATCACTTGTTATGAATACATATGAAGACCCTGCATGCAAATACCCATGCACACAATGTGAAGTGCTTGCTCGAAGGGCAGGCAACTTTAAAGGGAAATGCTAAGATCCATTCCTCTTCTCCAAATCTGTTTTTTCTCACACACACACACACAGATTAAGTGGAAATCGTTGACCTGCTCTAGTCAGAGTCTATGGCTCTGACCTCAGACGCAGAGAACTTAATCAAAGGAGGAGGAGAACCATTTTTTTTAAATTGTAGAGCCAAGGGCTCCTCAAGTGTCCCGCATTCCTTCAGCTGGCTGTAACAGACAAAAAGGAAAAGAAAAAAAAAAGTCTAGTAAAACAACTTCTAAACTGGCACAATTTCAGTTTCTTTAAGAACTGATGCCGAAGCCAAAATGAGACGCACACTGGCCTCCATGCAATTAAGAGAAAATACTATGGTAATGCTAACCAAGGATTAGAAACCTTGCCCCAAATGTGCAGCTAAAGCTAACAGAATGCTCAAACTGACATCGTGTCAGAATACACACTCTTCTTTGAATGCCTTTGGACCAAACAATTCAACATGGAAGACGAAAAGCCTTCCACTTATAAGCAGCAGTTACAGGTTAAGCAAGAAAAATAAAATACTGTAGTGCACCCTTTCCCCACCTTTGGGGCCTCAGCTGGGCAGACTTCAATTTCCACAGTGCCCAAGCCAGCACAGCCAAAGGGATGGGCAAGTTAAAATCCAGCACATCTAACCAGCAGCAGTTGGGAAAGGGTGCTTTAATGCTCTTGTCTCCATTTTCAGCGGATGGGACAGATTTCCTTTGACAGTTTATTGTGGTTCTCCTAGCTATTATGGGCTACTTTATAAGGTTTTTGGTCCCAGACTGAAATGCAAGAAACTGAGTAGGTGCTCGGCAGCCAAGAAAAAGGAGCTAGGCAAAGGGGTTTTTGAATGAATTCATGTTTTAAGATTTTATATTATTTATACAAGGACTAAAAAAAAAAAAAAAAATGCCTGGCCTGATCTTCTGCTGATTAAAGCCACCCTGAAAGAATTGCACCATTATTTCCACAATCTGTTAGTATCAACAGTTAAAGATATCTTTGTCAATCCTTAAAAGACAGGCTGGAAAATATACATGTGTAAATTAGACTGCCCTCCCAAGCTAAATAAAACAAGGAAAGTGTACAATGTGTGCAATGCCCTCACATTTTCCTCCCCAACTCTTGTTGCATACTTGCAGCTATGGCTGGGAAGAAAAGACAGAGTAAGGAGGGGGGAAAGCACAGTTTGCTGCTCATGCAGATAGAATATATTGTCTAAGTCACCTCTGACTAACAAACATGGTCACAAAATATTGGCTGCATCTACCTTACACGGACAAAACAACCCCACACAATTAGGGTGCCCCCTTAAAAAGTACATACCATTTGTGCATCTCAGGGTAAAGAAACCAAGGGAGAAGGAAAGAACGGGTAAAAGCAACAAAGACAACTATGGGAAAGGTACAGTGCATGAGAGATGAAAGGTCACTGAAGCTTTCAAGCAGAAAGCTCCCATTGGGACTGAAAATCAGTGCTTATAAAGAATTATCACAATACTTAAAAATCCTTCTATTTATCATTATAATGCACCCTCCCTCCCATTTTTTTAAAAAAACAAAACAGAACACGAAACACCCAATAGTACAAACTATAAGAATGGACTACAAACCCTCAACACAGCAATCAGTTTTATTCTCCCTCCCCTTCCTCTATCCCCTTTATTGCTGCTCCCAAAGAAGAAATCTATTTCAAGCACAGGTAACCTTTTTAAGTGCCCGCAAGCTCACAGCCAACAAGTATTGCTATAAGACAAGCCCACAACTAGTAAAAAAAAACCCAGCAGGTTGGCTGTTACAGGGGCGTGCGTTGTGTGCGTTGTGTCTGTCATGAACCCAACGGGAGGAAAAGAAAGCAACACCTCCAGGTCTTCAAAGGAAAACCATCCCAAGCTTCCAATTTCACCCCAGTTCGTGACTTCCA